CTGGGGGTCTCGGGTTCGATTCCCGGCGGTGCCCGAATTTATAACTTGTGTTGGGCAAAGCCGTGGTCTAGGCAACACGGAGTTTTCCTCCGGGGCATCCCAACAATTACTCCATTCACACACAGAAGAAGGCAATGGCAAACCACTTCTGGATCATCTGCCAAGAACGTATATGAACAGGTCCCAGTCCGAGAAAAGGATGGAAGGATCCTGTTCATATGGACCTGTCCTCAGACAGAACACCAAATAAATAAAATAATAAATAAAGTAAGAACGAGACCTCAGGCAGTGTTCAATAGCGAACACTCGTTAACCGTTTTGAAAAAAAACATATTCTTGCATTTGGACTGTTGAAGAAAAAAACAATTGACGGTCTGGCGCGAGCAATTTACATCACGTGACTCTCGTCGGGATTTGTAACGTCACAGCGATGTTGTTATTTGTGTTAATCTAATCGAATTGTTTTTAATTTTCTACTGTCAATACATATCTTAATGTGGGTTTCCAGATTTTTCAGTCACGGTGTGTATTTGTGCAGCATTTAAACCAACTTAACCAAATTAACAAATCTAAAACTTCTTGACGATGGTGAAGAGTCAATTGAATAAAAATTTACTTGGATATTATCCATCGTCTAGTAAATATAAAACGTAAAAAACGACGTTTCGGAGATGGGAGATAGGGGTTAGCTCTATCTAGTGGGCCCAACTGTGTAGGAACCTGAAGACGGAGATAGAGTCCCATCTCCGAAACGTCGTTTTACGTTTTATATTTACTAGACGATGGATAATATCCAAGTAAATTTTTATTCAATTAACCAAATTAACATTAAGAATGGTTTTACGTCGTCTGGTGCCATAAATTGTGAAGTAGATTTCATAACGCCATCAGATAAGTGATTCTGTGTTTGTAATTTCGTTAAGCTTTTGTTAGAACTGGATGAGGGTGGATGAGGTATTTAAGGAAATTGGTTGGCTGAGAATTAATGTCTACATTTTGTACTGTTTCAATAACACCACTACAGAAGGTGCAAAGAGTGTTCGTAATTTCTAAACTTAGTTATTTTTAGTTAGTGAAAGCAAAATCTTAACACTATTTCACGATGATAAAGAATTTATTTTAAATATAATATCACAGAATATCCGTTTCAAAATCTTGATCCGCCTTAATTTTCTTGTTTTTTTTGTTTTTTTTAGTAAGGCTTGACGCACAAATTTCCTCCTGAATATGTGACGTCACTGGATAAAGACGTTACAAGAATTTCGCTAGGTAATATATATGTACGAACTTCGTATTCTACAAGAAATTTGGTTTGGAGTACTACTTTCATTAGACGTATATCTACGCATCACAGCCAAGTTCGTGCCAAGGCTGCCCTCAAAGTTCGGCAGTTTTTGGCCTCAAACACCATGGCCGTCATCCCGCACCCTCCTTATTCGCCGTGTGACTTCTTCCTCTTCCCAAAGATGAAAATTCAGCTAAAGGGAAGGAGATTTGAGACGATAGAAGAGATTCAGGCAGAATCGCAGATGGTGCTTGACAGGCTGACAAAGAAAGATTTCCAGGGATGCTTCCAGGCTTGGTAGCGGCGCTGGGATCGTTGTGTTCACTCCCAGGGGAACTACTTCGAGGGTGATGGATGAATTTAATACCTGAGATAAGTGTACGGGTTTTTATACGCGCAGTCTTGAAACTTTCTGATCGCACCTCGTAAATATGACAAAATTCGAAATAAAGACGATAGTCTGGGAAATTCTCGCTATTATTCACTTCAAAATATTTAGTCTTCTGTCTTGGTATAAAAACCGTGCAGATTAAAAGAAAAAAGCTGTTTGTCATGTTTGTTGTTTTGTGTGTTTTTCGAGTTTGGTCCCTCGTATTTAAGATGCAAATATAAATTGAAGTGTAAACTTTAAGAAATGCGCCACAGCATCGTGTAACATGGGATTGTGATCGTTTAATTGGGTTATAATCCACGAAAATAATGTCAGTAGGATCGTCTTATAAACTTCATAGAACCTTTTGTCAAAAGGGTCCTTTTTCTATCTTTCGTAATTATTTTTTAAACATCCTACCTTAAGGACCAACAGCTAAGACTTTTAAGTAGAAATTAAATTATTGCATTTGGCTTTACTCTGTAACTTTAAAATTAACTCCGAATACAAGACTGCTAAGTGCAATAACTTTATCTGAAAGTGAAGATCTTTAATTTATTCCTATTTTCACATTGATAAATGGTCGTGAAACGTTTCGATATAATGTTTTCATTTCTTTACAGGTTACGTTTTATTATTATATTATTATTCAGTGTTCTGTCTGACGACAGGTCCATATGAACAGGATCCTTCCATCCTTTTCTCGGACTGGGACCTGTTCATATACGTTCTTGGCAGGTGATACAGAAGTGGTTTGCCATTGCCTTCTTCTGTGTGTGAATGGAGTAATTGTTGGGATGCCACGGAGGAAAACTCCGTGTTGCCCAACACAAGTTATAAATTCGGGCACCGCCGGCAATCGAACCCGAGACCCCAGGATTACAAGGCCAGCGTTCTAACCGCTAGACCACCGTGGCTCATTATGACATTATTTTTACAATGCAGTTCAAAAGACACATATCTGTGTTCTACATTCAGTGGATTCTATGCAATTTAATACGTTTGTTAATAATTTTATTATACAATTTTTGGTTTCTGGGGGAAACAACAAATTCTGTAAGGTTTAATATCATTTAATTCCACGTTAATATTTGTCTAAGCTTGATTTATGGTTAATTTTACCGTACATTTGAAGTTGGTGCATCCTCTACTATTATGATTAGATGTCCGCTGTGTATTTAAATTACTTATTTATTTATAATACATAAATAAATTTATTATCTACAAATAAATATAAACAAACCAAACCAGGATTCAGAAGAGGAGCTTGTATACGAGGAGTGAATATTTTTGGAATATACTTTTTTAATTTTAATTTATTTCATTCTTGTGTTTGGGTTAATAATAAAGATAAGATCTTTATCTAAAAAGTTATATAACTTTGGGATTTAATTACGTCATTAGCAAATATAGGGATTAAAAATCCTGACACTTTATAGATTCAGAACACTTTACTAATCTGTTAAAATCTTTGACTAAAGAGAGAGGGATTAAGAGGTATATCCTGCCTCCAAGTCTCATCTCGGTCCAGTTCAGCGTCCTCTATGACTGCCTAATCTCCTCGCTGTAACATCTTCTGTGCCCGATGTTGAGAGGGATTTTGGTGGGTGGGACTGGTTATGTCAGAGGTGTATGGACACGTCGTTAAAGAAACTATGATGAAACAGCGATATGTATGGTAAGAAAAGATTCTCAGACACAGATCCTTAACGTTTCGTTTCAATATCCCAAAACGTACTGATGATAAAGTGAAATCTTCCCTAGACACAGTGCATATTAATTATATAAAACTCAAATTTTAACGAAAGTTATGTTGGTAATCCTCTCTGAGTATCGTCGGCTGACTGTTGCACCGAATTATGATGATGATGGTTAAGGTACTTGGCATCTTGGTGATAATTTCGGTGAAAGTTTGCGAAATTGGAGCTTGATTTTGTGTTAGAGGATTGGACGTGGAGGACCTGAGATGGGATAGTGAAAAGGTTGGCAGAATCGTCTTTTTTCATAGGTGTTATACTGTCGATACTCATTATTTACAATGATTATTTAACGTTCACTTGGTGCTTCAAATCCGACTGTAAAATGTTTTTAATTTTATTGTCCGGTAGTCGCACGCAAGGGGTCGACTATTTATCGTATTCATATATTTTATTGCGTTAAGTTTGATTCATGAATGTGTATCTCCCATTATTTCCTTGGACTTCCAGGTGGGCGCGTCATTACGATGCTCTCATCCTGTTTATGTATTGATTCATGTCTCATCCATACTAGGAACTTGTTCAGACAACTTTAATCTCCAAGTCTTCTGTTTGTTAACAGAACACGTTCTAGGCTACTTGAACAAATCACAAGTTCTTCGATACTTACTACAGTTACCACCAAAACGTTCTTCGTCATTAATGTTATCATAGTTTTGTGTCTGTAATCGTCTATAAACCCCTTCATATCCGGAAAATGTTTCTCAGGGCCTCAGACTTACATGGGCTCTATGAAATGACGCATGAACGTGGAATGGGGACAGAGAAATAGACCACTTGGTAGAAATTGACGTAGATGGGAGTGTATTGGAATCGGTCTTAAAATAGGCTGTGAGAGTAAAGATTGAATTATAATGGAGAAGTGTCACGAAATCCATAACAAATCAGGTTTAATAAAATATTTAGAATGCGTTGAATAGGTTAGCGACTTTCAGCTTCTTAAGGAAGAGTCTGTCTATGGAGTTAAATTGAGGTGTGTGCAACACATCTGACGTTAAAACGAGATAGTTGGAGAGTTTTTTTTTTTCCAGGGCGTCTTATTACCGGGAAATTCCATTTGAAGGCGTGGTAATCCTGAAAAATATTCGACAGGCAATAAGACGAGATCGAATTTGCCCTAAATATTTCGCTTTGATATTTAAAGCTCTAGGATTTAAACGTCTATCAAAATTAGATTAAATTAAAAAATAAACTCGGTCTTTGATGGTATAAAACACGTGAAAGGAAAATTAAAGTTTGTAAGAGCCAAATCTAGTTCTGAGAAAAACGCAAAAATATTTTGACGTTTAATAGCTTATTTTATTTTTATCTCCATAGTAGGTATAAAGTAATTTATTCGTATCTTATTGTACAAAATACCTCTGCTTATTACATTTGCATATGCGTTTTTTTTTCCTAATTTAGTATATTTTCCTTTTAACTTAAGTAAAGTAGAAAATGAATAGTCTCTGATGCACTGGTCTTTAGTATTCCTCACTTAAACTTCTGACATAGCAGAAATCCCATTAGATACGAGACCTAAGACCGGTGATGTTAGACTTAGTACACATTTCTCCCACAACGGCGCTTACGACCTTCTAATTTTCAGGTGATGAATCCGTGTCGGAAATCCCTAGCCACCTGAGTCAGGAAAGCCATGTCCCGGTTGCAGAACCCGGGGAGGAAGAAGGTAAACAAATGAAGAAAGTTTCTAGGGCGGGGATGCTCGACGTTACTACTAATTTCACTGATAGTGTCCATTTTATTACGAACCAGATCATCCCACACGTTTCAGTGCCTCTTAAGACATTCAAAACTCTACTTAACGCTTCATTTATCTGTATTATTTCTGTCTGACGTAAGTATCCTTTGTCCTTTGTCTAAATTGCATTTGTCTGATATGAAATATGTTTTATTTCGATATCGTTCTGCGACTTCTCCAACTCCGAAATTGAGAAAACACGTGGGCACCTAGAACAATCATTTTGTGACCAAGATATATTCTACTCAGTTACGATCAACTATAGAGAACGATACAAATTAGAAATTAGTGAACTACACATGATCGTCCATTAATCATTCAAAATATGAACATATTTCATGTATATTTTAACAACAGATTAATTGTAAACCTCTCTGATGCCATTTTAATTTGAGTTACGTTACGAATTATGTGACGAGTGATAAGGGGAATTGGTATTTTTCTCTGTTCCCTAAATATTCATTGTCCCTGAATTGTGACTCATCCCCCAACCGGTCTTTGAACTAGATTTGCCATCTTGCATAAACCTGCAAGGGGAATTGATACAAGAAACTGTTCAACCATTACCAAGGGAATACATTTTTGAAGATGGCTGTCTTATGGGTTGTATCGCCGTGTATTCTGGTAGAATATTACCAGCGTTTAAGAGGTCCTTGCTGATTTCATCGTGCTTAATTATCGCCCTGATGATGGAAGCAGCATGGATGAAACGTCGGTAAACGTCTAACAGAATACACAGGGTTACAAATCAGAAGATAGCCATCTTCCTTCAACTTTCTTCGGACTTACCGCCATTAAAACCTCAAATCCTACTGATTTTTTTTGTTTCGCGAAATATATTTTTTTTGTAAAAGTTAATGTTATTATAAAACATGCGTTAAACTGTTAAAAATTACGAAAAAGTGGAAGATGAGTGACGTTAGATGAGCTTGGCTTTATAGATGGTCCATTTACAGCAAACAGACTGTGTTATAACATGACGCAAAAACAATTTTAAATTAAATTACCAATACAAAAACGACAAATAACATACTGCATGGAGAAGAATCTTCCTTGAGAAGCTGATAGTTGCCTCAACGTACTTAAATATTCCATCAAAACTGTTTTATTTTCAATATTTTGCAGTGGAATTAATATTCTCGACCTCTTTCGCCCACATTTACGTCATTGTCGCTTGTACCACTCTCACTCTCACTGACTCCAGCATCGTTTATTTCACAATCATTATCACTAGAACTGATACCTAATATATTTCCACAGCTAACATCAAATATATACACTATTTTGTCATCACTAAGCAATCTCCACTTTAAAATCTTTCATAAATTCTCAAATAAACAAAAAAAAGTGTAACCACGTGTGGCACAACGTGAATACGAACACACAGTGGACAAGAGCTTCCTGTAATGACGTAACACCAAAATCTTGCCATCACTTACACTCTGTGGTACGACAAATACTTCGCCCAAATGATACATCACGCCCTCAAGATCCATTACTATGTCGGACCTGACCGAGGGTCTGAGCAGAGGACTTCCAGTCTTAAAGGCGGGTCATCGTAATGTGGATCACGTGGACTGGATTTCTAGGCCGATCATAGCCAGATGTTCGTTCCACGTCATTATTTATTTATTTTATTTAGTATTCTGTCTGACGACAGGTCCATATGAACAGGATCCTTCCATCCTTTTCTCGGACTGGGACCTGTTCATATACGTTCTTGGCAGATGATCCAGAAGTGGTTTGACATTGCCTTCTTCTGTGTGTGAATGAAGTAATTGTTGGGATGCC